ATGCCTAAGGCGGGACTAGAACGGACAGTTTTCTTCTTTCTGGCCTGGCGCCTTAACCACTAGGCCAGGCTGCCTCCAGTCACTGAGGTTTGAGCTTCATGTCCTTTGCAACCCTCAGACCCATGAAGAGATTAACCAGAGGCTGAAATGTTTCCTTCCTGACTCGGATCGGGCAGCTCTCAAGAACGCCGTCCCCTTCAAGCCCTCCGAAGACCTGCAGGTTCCCCCCGGGCTGGACTGGCGAGCCAAAGGGGCCGTGACTGAGGTCAAAGATCAGGTGGGGGCTGAAGGGCCTGGGGGGGTTGGGGGCTCTGACCAGCCAGGAATGGAGGAGGGAGGCAGAGGGGCTTTTAAGGAAAAGGAGGGGAGGGGTACGATCTGCCCATTTGCAATTCAAGTCGGAATTTAATGGATTTGTGAAATCTTGCAGACGAAGTTAAATTCTTTCCTCCGTTAACTGCATTTCCGAAGCTTCAGTTTTGTCACAACTCATATCCCTTCTAGCACTGATGGCGTTACCTAGTTGGGTAATGAGATGCTTGCAAGAAAACCACCAAGCTCAGAGAGTACAAAAGATGCCGTGGTCATCACCCTCCTCCTCCTCCTCCTCCTCCTCCTCCTCCCTGCAAACCACACTCCTTTCTAGCACTGATGATGTTACTTAGTTGGGTTATGAGATGTCTGCAAAAAACAGCCAAGCTCAGAGAGCACCAAGGACTCCACAGTCTTCCTCTTCCTCTTCTTTTTCTTCCTCCTCCTCCTCCTCCTCCTCCTCCTCCTTCTCCTCTTCCTCCTCTTCCTCCTCCTCCTCCTCCTCCCTGCACTCCCCACTCTAGCACTGATGATGTTACCTCGCTAGGTAATGAAACATCTCCAAGAACCCAACCAAGCTCAGAGAGCACCCAGGACCCCACAGTTCTACCCTGAGCTACAGATATTCTCTTCTGTCGGAACTGAGATTTTGCCCAGCTGCCTCCGACCAAGAACCGAGAACAAGGAACTGGTTAAAGGAAGATAAATGGAGTTTTCCGTTCCTTGGTGGATCATTGCAGCTCTGTTTTTTACCCAGGGCGCCTGTGGCTCCTGCTGGGCCTTCAGTGTCACCGGCGCTCTGGAAGGCATGCATTTCAAGAAGACGGGGAAGCTGGTCTCGCTGAGCGAACAAAATCTTATCGACTGTTCTAAGGACCAGGGGACTGAAGGTTGCGAGGGTGGATTTATGTCAGACGCGTTTACATATGTGCAGAAGCAAGGAGGGATCAATTCAGAGGAAAGCTACCCATATGATGGACAGGTAATTCTCTGTGGGTTCCTGTGCGTTCTTCAAACTATAGTTGGGTTGGGTTGGGTTGAATAGAGTAGACTGGAGAGTGGTGTAGAATAGAATAGAATAGAATAGAATAGAATAGAATAGAATAGAATAGAATAGAATAGNGTCCAGTTTCTTCTTAAAAACTTCCAGTGTTGGAGCATTCACCGCTTCTGGAGGCAGGTGGTTCCACTGGTTAATTGTTCTAACCGTCAGGAAGTTTCTCCTTAGTTCTAGGTTTCTTCTCTCCTTGATCAGTTTCCATCCGTTGCTTCTTGTCCTCCCTTCAGGCGCTTTGGAGAAGAGCTTGACTCCCTCTTCTTTGTGGCAGCCCCTGAGATACTGGAACACTGCTATCATGTCCCCCCTCGTCCTTCTCTTCCTTAAACTAGACAGACCCAATTCCAGCCACCATTCCTTATATGATTTAGCCTCCAGTCCCCTAATCATCTTTATTGCTCTTCTCTGCACTCTTTCTAGAGTCTCAACATCTTTTTTACATCCTGGTGACCAAAACTGGATGCAGGATTCCAAGTGTGGCCTTACCAAGGCCTTGTAAAGTGGTATTGTAAAATAGATCTTCTTGATCTTGGCTGCCCATCAGGGGGAAGAATCCTTTCGGAGAGCCGTGTGGGAGGAGAATCTGAGGATGATCCAGGACCACAACAGCCAGGCTGAGCAGGGAAAACACACCTACAAACTCGGGATGAATCACTTTGGTGACCTGGTACGTGTGGATCAAGGCTAGTTTGATTTATTCAATGGACATGGATGTTGGTCTTCTGAGTTCCTATAGCTGTCCCCCCCCCACTCCCGCCATCTCAGTCAATGACTCTGGGCAATTCATGAAGTCAATTAATTGATTATATCCTCCCTTCATCTCTTTTTCTGCAAATCATTCAAGGTGGTGAACATCCCCAAGACAAATTTCTCCTCCCATTTTCCCAACAACAACCCTGTGGGGTGGGTGGGGCTGAAGGAGACGGGCTGGCCCAAAGTCACCCAGCCGCTTTTCATGCCTAAGGCAGGACTAGAACTCACCGTCTCCTGGTGATTGGCCCAAGGTCACCCAGCTGGCTTTCATAGCTAAGGCGGGATTAGAACTCACTATCTCCTGGTGATTAGCCCAAAATCATCCAGCCGGTTTTCATGCCTAAGGCAGGACTAGAACTCACCATCTCCTGGTGATTGGCCCAAGGTCACCCAGGCAGTTTTCATGCCTAAGGCGGGACTAGAACGGACAGTTTTCTTCTTTCTGGCCTGGCGCCTTAACCACTAGGCCAGGCTGCCTCCAGTCACTGAGGTTTGAGCTTCATGTCCTTTGCAACCCTCAGACCCATGAAGAGATTAACCAGAGGCTGAAATGTTTCCTTCCTGACTCGGATCGGGCAGCTCTCAAGAACGCCGTCCCCTTC